TCTATCTATCTATCTACCTATCTATCTATATATATAAAAATGAATGTGTGTTTCTATGTTTGTATGTTTATATGTTTGTATATTTGAAGTTTATAGACGGCTAAGCGGCTGAACCGATTTTCTTGAAATTTTCACAGTGTATTCCTGTATGTCTGGAAGAGGTTATAGGCTATTTTTTATTTTGATATTTGAAGTGGGCGAGGTGCCACGCCCCTATTAAGAAAATATTAAATCAGTATATCTGAGATAATATAACAGAGTCCTCAAATTTTGTAGAGCCACTTTAGTCCTTAATTTAAGACAAAAAGTAGGCAGACTAGCAGCAGAGGGTGTGGCACCTCCCATATATATTAAATAGAAAAATTATTTTTTCTTGGAAATTTTGCACGAAGAACATCCATATAAACGTTTTGGGTTATAAATTGGCGGACTACCAATGAGCGCAACGGTACATTCCATATGAATTAAATACAAAAATTCGTTTATCTAGTAAACTAATTGAACTAAATTCTTCAAATTTTGCACGAAGAACTTTAATATTCATCTGAACATTTTGTAAAAAACAGTGCGGATTTTCATCTGGGGGCTTGGAGCCCCCATATAATTTAAATAGATATTCATATGAAAATTTTGAGAATATCTGGGAAACTAATAGAACTAGAACTTTAATATTCATCAGAACATTTTGGAGAAAAAAAAGGCGGAGAGGCTTGGAGACCCCATATGAATTAAATAGAAAAATTCGTATATCTGAGAAACTATTAGGACTAGAATCTTCAAATTTTACATGAAGAATTTTGACATTCATCTAAACCTTTAGATAATAACGGGCGGACTTTCAATGGCGTGCTTGCCACCTACTATATGAATTAAATACAAAATTAGGTTTATCTGGGAAACTCATAGAACTAGATTCTTCAAATTTTGCAAGAAGAACTTTAATATTCATCTGAATATTTTTTGAGAAAAAAAGGCGGACTATAAAGGCGGAAACTATAAGAGCAAGAATCTTAAAATTTTACATGAAGAACTTTGTCATTCATGTAAACAATTAGAGAACAACGGGCGGACTTTCAATGGGGGGCTTGGCACCTCCCATATGAAAAAAAATACAAAACTGTTAGATTATTAAAATTTTTATTAATTTAGATTACATTAAAATCTTAATTAGCGTTTGGGAAAATTGGCGAACTTGCAATAATTTGCGTAGCATCTCTCATATGTAACAAATTGTATATGTGGAAAACTATTGTAGTTAGGATCTTCAAAATCGTTAAGTGATTTTTTATTTATGTATATTGCTTTTAGGGTAGCAAAGCACACTGGGTATAGCTAGTAGTTTATATAATATAGACATGGGGTTAAGGAATTTTAATAAATGATAAAATTTTAGATTGAATTTAATATATTACAAATTAAAAATTAAAATCTATACCGTTTATACTTATCATTTTCAGTTTTCATTTGACAATCTGTTTAAAAAATTATCAAGAAAAAGAACTTATGTACATACATATGTATGTATTTACATACATATATACAAGTTTTTATCTGTTTAAAAATACGATCCGGTAGTTTTCCGTTCAAGCAATAGGTTCGCATTCTACTGAATCAATATCTAAGTATGTAGAACACAACCCTTCCAAAATGTTAAATACTTCCTAGTTGATTTGGCATAATTCGTCATTTCAGGGCTAAAGGATAGCAGATTTGAAGTATTTTCATCAAAAATACTTTTGACCATGAAATCTTGCGTCGGCGTATCATTTGGTGAGTTCCAAACTCTATGCTTAGCGTCACATTGCCCATCTTTAACAGCCAGTTTCTGTATAAGTTTACAGATCGAATGTTTAATTCAAGATATATTAATTATATACAGTGGTGGAAAAAATAATAGAAACGACTTTATATAGTGGTGAAAACTAAATTTTCTCAAAAAGTACCCCTTACAATTTGATGATTTGTATCTTAAATAAAAGGTATTTAGGTCTACTTTCCTATGATAAATGGACTTTGTAAATTTTTTTGCTCCATCGTATTTTATTGGTATTTAAAAAATTTGTCATTGGAAAAAATAATAGAAACGATTCACAGTATTACACTGGGGACATAAGCTGAGATTTCTTAAACTGCGTTTTGTAGTTATTTTTAAAAATTTGAATTGTAAATGATATTCCCAATATCAAAATATACTGTTTCCTCGGTTCTTTATGTTAACGTGTGTTTTTTCAACGCCTGGTTGACCATATGAGCTCTGACGGCTGAATTGGAGCCACGAATTTCAAATTTTCTTTAATAAAAAGTTAGAACTGTGAAAGAAATTGCTTAACATTGCTAAATTACTTAAAAAATTAGTTCTTGAAAAGATTTCGAGCCGAATCCGCTTATAGATAACTATAATCCACCGATTTTTGGCCCCGATTTTGAGCAATATTTCACTTTTTGGCAATTCAACCCGTTCTTGGTGGTTAAAAAGGGGCTTAAATATCAAAGTATCTTGATGGACAGGTAAAATAAGTTGAATTTAAAACTAAAATTTCAAGAAATGTAAAAATTTCAAAAATTAATTTTATATTTAGGTATAGTACTGTTTGGGAATTGATACTGGTATAGACCCAATACGATCTGTTGCAAAAAATAAAACAGAATTCTTTTAAACGAGGGAAATAAAATATGTTTTTTATACCCTCCACCACCATCAGTGGTGATAGAGGGTACATATAACTTTGTCATTCCGTGTGTAACACCAAGAAATATTCATCTGAGACCCAACAAAGTATATATATTCTGGGTCCTTATCAAATTCTGAGTCGATTTAGCTATGTACGTCTGTCCGTCTGTCTGTGTAAAACACGCTCACGATAAAACGAAGCAATGGAGTTTAACCAAATTCACCCAAAATGTTCTTCATTTTCATAAGTTGTTTGGTATTGAAAATGGGCAAAATCGGTTCACACCGGGAAAAGTTATGAATCAAAATTTAAAACAACCTCGAAAAAAATAAGCATTTTTTACACATTCTGATGAAATTTTCTCGAAAACTATGCAAGATAATTCCATGAAAATCTCCATACATTCGTTTCTACACAAGAGCTTGATCCCTGCTGAAAATTGCTAGAATCGGTCCACAATTTCATATACCTCCCATACAAAAGTACATATTCCCGGAAAATGGGTTTTTTGTTAATAACTTCCGTCAGAATGTTGATATCTTCACAAAATTTTACAAATTAAAATCTTATGTCAATGGAATTCATTCAAAGAAAAATTTTTCTGGATCGGTCCATAATTGGACATAGCTCCCATACAAGGTCCCCTCCCGAAAATCACTTAAATGGCCATAGCTCATTACTAAATTAAGATATCCATATAAAATTTGGTATAAATATTACTCATATGTACAGAAATATTACTGTGAAATTTTTTCCCGATCGGTCCATAATTGGTCATAGCTCCCATAAAAGGTCCCCTCCCGAAAATCACTTAAACGGTCATAGCTCATTACTAAATTAAGATATCCATATAAAATTTGGTATAAATATTACTCATATGCACAGAAATATTACTGTGAAATTTTTTTCCCGATCGGTCCATAATTGGTCATAGCTCCCATACAATGTTCCCTCCAAAAAATCACTTAAACGCACATAACTCATTACAAAATCTTGATATCCATACATTTAGCAAAAATATTGCTCTTATATACATACGAAAATCTCTTAAACACACATTACTCATTACCAAATAAAGCTGTACACTATATTACGATATAGATACAAAATTTTACTGAAATATAGCTTTTATGTACAGAAATTTTGATTAAAGAATTTTTTACGATCGGTCTATAATTGATCTTATCTCCCATACTAGGAACTGCCCCTAAAAGCGCTTTAACCTTATTTAACTATTTGCATTATCAATTTGTGTAGAACAAAGTTATATATACCCTGGTGGAGGGTATTTAAGATTCGGCTCAGCCGAATATAGCACTCTAACTTGTTTTTCATTACCTTTTCTAAAATCTAATACGTTTATTTTATGGAAAAAGGTGCATTTTATCTGAACTACAGTAGACTACCTACAATTCAAACTGAATTTTAAAATGTTTTAGGTTTTGTGAACTTTTTGTGTTAAATTTAACTTAATTTAGCATTATTTCACAAGTCCAAAAAAAATTTAAAGTAAAAAGTATACCTTTATATTAAGAATTTCATTTATAATTAAAATTTTTTAAAATAAGTACTAAACGAAGTTTAATAAATCTCAGCTTATGTCCCCAGTGTAATACTGTGAATCGTTTCTATTATTTTTTCCAATGACAAATTTTTTAAATAGCAATAAAAAACGATGGAGCAAAAAAAACTTACAAACTCCATTTATAAAAGAAAGTAGACCTTTTATTTAAAATACAAATCATCAAATTCTAACGGGTACCTTTTGAGAAAATTTAGTTTTCACCCCAAAATAAAGTCGTTTATATTATTTTTTCCACCACTGTATGTATATATATTAAAGGCCTGCACAAGACAACAATAATGCGACAAGCACACGGAATTTTTTAGAAAATTGTCGCATGTTTGTGGATTTACTAAGCTCAAAAGAGGTTTCGATGCATTTATAACAGATATTTTTTCTCCATAAAAAAATATCAAAATGGTTGATATTTGAAAATGTAAACAAACCAAACGAAACAAAAATTTAGGAAATTTTAAATTTTTGAAAGAAAATATATAAATTAATAACACACTAATATTAAAAAATATTTTGTAATTGGATTAATTTTATTTGTCATAAATTAGTTTTATATAAGTTTTTTGTGAAAAATCATAACAACCAATGTCAATATAGCGTTTTTAGAACAATTTATTTTTTTTATTATTTATTTATTTATTTATTTAATTGTACTGCTTTTTTAACTACGATATACTTTTTTTGTTGATTTCAAATCTGGCAAGCTTAACATACATAGAAAGTATAGCATTAAATTTTAAAAAACACCATTTATTTATTTTCAACCACCCTGTGTTTCATTCCACTTCTTATTCTGGAAAATTAGAAGTTTATTACTAAATAAAACGTGTTTTACTTTTGTTTTTCCTTGCTTTTCTTATTTCTTTTAATTTGTAGCAATGGTGGTTTCTAAAAGATGTAAAGTTTGTGCAGCACTTGAAGCTGAAAATATTCCGATATCTGGGGAGTATTTTGGTAAATTACTTCCAGAATTGATATTGAAAATATCCGGCATAGATGTAAGTCAACAAGATTAATAATTTCTCACAGACAATTTTATTATCTTCATTTTTGGATATTATTAGTTGGACCCGCGTAAAATAAATGGTGTGCTCATATGTAAATCTTGTGCGGTACAGTTGGTACACACTGATTTGCTGGTTGATAAATTACGAAACACACTGCAGCGACTGAAGAAATTGGTGAAGGAGACGAAACCCAAAACGTCAAGTGCTTCTCAAACTAAGGCCAAAAATTCACCAACCAATAATGGCGAACAGGTAAACTTGAACAAATCCGAATTAATAGATTCTGTAACAAATTTAGATGAATCAAAAACACAAGATGAAGTTAAGCCAAAAACTCCCAAAAAAGTCGCAAGGCGTAAATCCGTATTTCCCGATGACAATCAGATGAATAACGATAATATCGCTGAGGGGAATGGAAAGACTCCTCCCTCGGACAAATCTGAAAAAGGGGAAAGTGATTCTGTAGCAAATTTGAGCGATTCAAAAATACAAGAAAAAATCAAACCTAAAACTCCCAAAAAAGTAGCAAGACGTAAATCTGTATATCCCGATGACAAACATATCAGTAATGATGAAGACACTATAGAGAATGCGAAGACTCCTAATGATAACTCAACATTTACAAAGTTAAAGAAGAAAATTGATTGCAATGCGGCAACCCCTTTGAAAAAGACACCCGAGAAGGCAGAAAAACGGAAGCTGGCCACATCAACAAAAGAGAATTCAAATAATACAAATGGCAATTTGGTCGAATCCACACCATTGAAACGTAATAAAACAAAGTCAATATCTGTAAGCGAAGACTTTCCAATGGATTTAACTATTGATGAACAGGATGGCATCGCCTCAAACAATGACACAAGCATAATTGATGGTAAAGTGAAAGTTATAAACTGCAGTATTTGCGGTAAAGCATTTCAACAAAAGAGCCAATTGCGCGAACATATCGAGACAAGTCATATGGGAGAACGTCTAAAGGCATGTCCGCATTGTTCGTCCGAATTTCGGTCGCAGCAAAAATACGAGTCACATATATTTAGTGAAAAGTGTAAGAATACTAATCATGTTTGTCAGTACCCAAAATGTAACAAACGTTTTAAAACAGTTCACAAAATGGAACTGCACATGCATGAAAAGCATTCATCGCAGAATGAATCGGAGGCAGAATAATGCCCTCCTACTTTTAAGTTGTCGGATAAAAATTTATTTTACTATATTAAGGATTAAGTTTAATATTGAATTTAATAAATTACATACAAAGTTCTTTGTATCGACAAAAGATTTTGTTTTTATAAAAAACTTTTTAAAGAAAATTTAAGAATTATCACACTAGTTTGCATATTTAAAAGCATATTGGTGGGTTTAATAGTGAAACAAATCATTACTAATAAATGGCAATTATTTCATATGTAAGACATTTGGTTGGATGGCAATATCTGACCTAGACATGGCTTCTACTAACTTCCGACTAAAGATGGCTTAAAGTTGATCATCTCATTCCTCCGCAAGAACTATTTTAAAAGTTTAATGATTTTTTTTTACTTTAACTTCGAGATAACTTCTGGGATCTGGCCTTGCGTCTACATTACTTGCAGACATTTATAGAAAAATCAAGTCTTCAAATTCGTATCGTTTCCTTGGTGAAGTTTTGGTTCTCTCTAAGGGAATGAATTGGCTTTCAAATGGGCAAATTAGACTTCAAGGTGTCTAAATAAGAGCATGTTTCGTAATGCATCACTGCAATGCATCTGATGATAACTTTTGATCAGAAGCAATCGTTCGATTGATCGTTTGCAGTCGCCAAAATTAATCAAAGTAAAATTGATACTTCTACGAATATATATTCCAACACCACCGTAACCATCTGACATGATCTTGCTGACGATGTTATAATCCCTGAGGTTTCAGCAGGCTTCCAGCCAAGTCTTAGAGAGCTTAGTGATATCATATTAGTTTTGTTTCCTAAAGTTGCTGCCGATGGCATTCGCGTCCAAATAGTTAATACATAAATTAATATTCTCCGTTAGGGAACTAAAAATTAATTAATGCAATAAAAATGCTGTGAAGACCTTAGCTGGTCCTTCCAAAAAATGTATCGAATATGAGCGATTTTCGTATTTTATTATAATTTCCGTGAAGGCCAAATTATACCTGTACTCCTCACAAATCTCATTTAACGGGGTGAACTAATTTCCATAAACGTACACACTCAAACCTCGTTTTATGCGATTAGTTCGTTTCGCAAAAAAACGCATAATTCAAATTCGCACAAAACGATACACTAGCTCCATACAAAATTTTCCTCAAAATCATTTTTTCAAAGAAAAATTTTAGAATTTTGAAACCGCACTAATTCAAATTGGCATAAAATGAGGGTTGAGTGTATAGCGAAAGCTTATCTCTGACCAGGCAAATTTTGATCATTGGCGCATGACCCCCTTTAAGATTTCTGCATGGTATTTCAATGCTCCTTTCCCTACTGACTGTAACACGAACGACATTATTTAAATTTTTGTTTGCAAAGTTATTATATCTGTAGAGCCGGTTACACTAAAAGTGAGAGATATGTAGTGCGTCGCTGGAATCTTGACGTATCCGAATCATTGTTATATTCCCAATCGATTCTTTCTGCCTGTTATCCTCCTGCAAGGTAACACAAGGTGGCACAATTTTTGAACAAATAAAAAAAAACTGAATGCTATTTTACTTGATGCATTTGAAGTTGGTTTGAAAAATCAAAATAAAACAGTAAGAGCCAATGTTTCAAGACTTGCTAATCGACACACACCTCAGAGGGAGTTCTGTCTCCCTTTTATGGGATATGGCTATGAACTCCTTATTGGTCTAACTAGATAGATGGAGAATTAAGACAGTCGTCTATGCTGACTATGCGTTCTATAAAACTCTAACTCTAAAACGATGTATCATCCATGTCCGTCTCTATTCTTGCACTTTTATTATGCAATGGACAAAATCGGTCAACATTTGAACACAGTAACCATACAAGGTCAGCTTTAGAAAATAACTTTAACAAACATATCAAACTTCGAAATAGAATTAGAGTCATGAGTAGAGGAATAAAATCAAAATGCAGAATAGTGGGAAATATTTCTCTTAAGTAGTAAAAAAAAATGAAAAAACATAAATAAACACCTACACAGTTCGCAGATTTTCATATATTTTTACATGTACTTAGAAATCACTTCTATATTACTTCTATTATACCATTATTTTGGCCAACAACTTTCCGATTTTTTAAAATATAGTGCCGATTGAATGGAGCATAATGACAAAATTCTTTTTTAAATACTGGTATGTCTGCAAAATCTATACCACTCTGTCTGTATACGTGAATATAAAACACATTTTATAATCATTTGCTTAATGCTTAATAATGCCATTCCTTTATTTAAATATTTTTTATTTATTAACCGACTCATTCGAAAACAATTATTATAGTTAACAATGGTTTAAATGCGTTTAATAAACCGTTGGTAAATATAATATTCGTATATAAATACGGATGTAAATATGTATGTATAAACGTATAACTTAAATAAATGGTTCAACTTCAATCAGTTAAATAGTTACATATTATGATTATAGATTTAAACAAAATTAATAAAAATGATAAACATGATTGATTGCTCTAATGTTTTTTACAGAATTACTTCTAAAGGTAACTATGGTTAACATAATAAAAAATGAAAAAACTATTTATGCAAATGATAACAAAAAATAACGAAAAAAAAAAACAAAAAAGTGTACATATACAACTATGTAACAATGACCAATTCAACGAACAAATTTAATATAATGCCCCTATATGCGTTAAGATTTCTGGAAACTTTGAGTTAGGAAGAACATTAGCAGATTTAGAATGCCAACCAAGTAGAAAATGTTTATTAGGATTTGCTATGGATTTCAGCCTGAGCAGACTTCATTACATCTAAGGCACCTTTTTTAATTAAGTCCTCGGCCAATTGTTGTCCCAGTCGATTGCTTTTCACATAGAATTCACGATTGTGGCAGGCATGTTGATAAAGTCCACAGAATAAATTGTCTACATCTTCAATAAGAACATTTGAAATGTGTTGCGATTGGGGCTTTTCGTCGTCAGAATAATCAAACATTTTAACAGTCTTCTGTAAAAAGGGACACTTTCCATGTACTGCGGATTCACTATTATTAGCTTTTGTAGCAAACACAAGATCATTTGGCTTGTGCATCGATGCGAAAGGACATTTCGATGCAGCAGACACAGATGGAGTACAATCAACCTGATCTCCACTAGATGTGCCACTGTTGCTATTAGGATTAGTTTTTGTCATTGGACATTTCCCGGCTGCAGCAAGTGCTACTTTCGCATCATTGCCTACAAACGGACATTGCCCCATAACATCTTGACCAATATCAATCGGTAGTGGACAAGCGTTTGCCATAGTTTTGTCGGCATCCCCGCCGCCACTTTCAATAGTCAGATTTCCGTTTGCATCATCATTATTAATTTCTGAACTCACAACAGGACATTTTCTGGCCAGATTAATATGCTTTTCGACCAATTCGCCAATGTTATAAGATTCCGTTAATGCTTCGACATCAGCATCATCATTAATTATGGGAGGACTATTTTGGCTTTGCAATCCGGGGCTGTTGCTATTATTCCGTCTTGTGCGCTTCGTCGGCGGCTCATCACTGCTACTGTCGTCAGCTTCTACATTATTGTTCTCAATATCTACGGCAAGCGAACAAGACTTTTTCTCTCGAATTTCCAGAGAACCATCAAGACTCCAAACGGCACCATCCAAATGTAAATTTAGAGATTCACAATTGTTGGCATCTTTTGTCAAATCACCGTTTAGATTGCTAAAGACAGCAACAGGAGCACTACACCCACCTCCGAGTGTTTTGAGAAAACTCCGTTCAGCCAAGATGCGGCACGTGGTAGACAGACACATTAGGCTTCGAAGCATGCTCAAAATTTCGGTGTCATTTGAACGACATTCTACCGCCAAAGCACCTTGCCCGACGGCGTACAATAAATCAGTTGGTTCCAAAACTTGACTAATGCGATCATGCCATCCCATACGCACCAAACCAGCTTGTGCCAAAATAATACCAGCAAACTTCGAATCAACAGCGTCCAATTTAGCTAAACGGGTGTTGAGATTGCCCCGTATATCACAAACGACCAAATTTGGATACTGCCTTCGAAGTTGTGCAGTTCTTCGCAAAGATGAAGTGCCTATAAACAAAAAGGGTTTTTGAGAATAACTTTATTCAAAGAGCAATTTCCCAACACATACCAATTACACTTCCTTTTGGCAAGGTATCAATTGTATGACCTTTGTAATTTGATCTAAGTACAAGTGCATCTCTAGCGTCTTCTCGTTCAAGAACTGCACCAATGGCCATACCAGTCGGTAATGCTGTAGGTAAATCTTTCAACGAATGCACGACAAAATCAACACCACCGTTACGTAATGCATCTTCAAGGTCTCTTGTAAAAAGACTTTTTTCACCAATCTTAGGCAGTGATATATTCAAGACCCGATCTCCAATAGTTGTCATGGTATCTGAAATATTATAGATTTAATTTTAATCATATTTTTTTACCTTTGGAATATAGTCAGCAATAGTAAAGCTGTTTCTATAAAAATTATTATTTTGAAAATAGTAAATATGAAATAAATAAATATAACGATTTCGGATTTTCAAATATTTGGCACAAAATCGTCTATTGATTATTTATGAATAGTACAAACCGTTGCTAGTGATTTTCTTAATAATAATAATAATAATGATAATAATAATATTAATAATAATAATAATAATAATAATAATAATAATAATAAATTTGATAAATTTTAAACAAAGATGCTGAGAAATGTGTCATCTGAATTTTGGGTTTTGGAAAAATGGTCAATTCTAAAGGTCTTAAAAAATATCATTTTTAGTTGGCAAGGAGATTTGTGTCAATAGTTTACAAAGGTATATTTTGTAAAAAATCTTAATAAATATCTGCTATAATATTTGAAACTGTATCATTGATTTTGTAATCAAATTAAGAACTCATTATTAGGTTACAATAAATAACAAACGAGTGCTCACGCTTTTTGAAAATAAGTAGGAGTAAATTTAATAGGCCATTAAAAGACTAACAAAAGTGAATCCTGCTATTACTCTGTTATATAAGCCGATTCGAGAAATATAGAAACAAGACACAGATCTCATATACATAAATATATAAGTATTTAAGAACATTCTTTTATTAACATA